TCATGTTCACAATTTAATGCCAAGGGTAATTGAGTCATTTCATTTGCTATGTAACTCCCATACCATTAAAGAGGAGTTACAAAATCATAAAATTCCTAAAAATATACATTAAAAATATACATTTATAATATTGATATTTTCATTTATTTTTTTATTCTTGATCTTCCATTTTTATTGTTTTATGAGTTTTTGATTCGTGGAGGAAACACGGTAGTAAAATCTTCGGTAGCGTTCAAGCTATCATGGATAAACACATTGAGAAAAAATCGACAATATTGAGAAGATTAAAATGGTTTATGGTGACAATCGGAGTTCGAGTTCGGGAAGTGAATAAATTAACCAAAGCGAATGTCTTGGTAATGGATTAATATTTTATTAAACTCGTTTTAATCGAAATTATGTTTATTATGATGTGTTGTGTTTCTTGTAGTTCATATTGTGTTGATAACGTTTTTTTAATTATTAATACGTATCTAATTTACATGTTCAAATGGAAGTACATGCACGACTCATTTTTATATTGTCATATTACCGACTTGTATGAATCATAAACCATCGTTTTCATGTTACTTCTATCATATGAACACAAGTGTTATTCTTTAAGCTTGATACCAAATCTTTATATTTGTGTAAGTGTTTGCACCCGATGTTCATAGCGTCGGGGTTTTGTGTTCATATATTTTATATGATATGAACAAGGGGTGAACAACCACATAAGACCAGAAAACATATATGAATAAGGGGTGAACCTTAAACGGCGTGGATGCAATGCATGTATAAAACTCCAATTGACAAATGATCGCTCCTGAATATGTTTATAATGAATGAACTATTGTTCACAAGCTGTTCATATCGTGTTCATACATGTTTTTTTATTTATTTCCTTTCGTATAGCAGTTATTCTTATTATGTTCATATTGTGTTCATAAATGATATGCAGTCAAAGTTCATATATATGCCGATTTTTTGTTCGTATTTGACACAATGGTTCATATGTATATAGTTGTGTTCATATGGTTTTACATTAACAAAAATCATAAAATTTTTTGATTTTGTAACTCTCAATTAATGATATGGGAGTTACATAAAAAAATTACCTAAATACCCTTTTCAACTTTGTTCACTTATCTTTATGAAATTTTAAAATTAAAAAAATAAGTTTTTATCATGATTAATCACAACCGTTTATTGAAAGATTGAATGACCAAGATCGGTTAACAAAGTTAACACAAAAACTTTGGTTAACATTTGAACTTGACCATATATATATATATATATATATATATATATATATATATAAAATGAGACAAACCATCAAGCATATCCACAATAAATATGATTGAATGGAGTTTGTGAACATGTTTAGTATGTAAAATCTGCATCGGTCAAATCATGAACTTATAGATAACAGATCATGTATTTATATTTATATTTTTAGAAAAGAAAAAAAAGTAATTGTTACCAAGAAAAGTTGTTTAGTTGGATGCTTGATGACTTAAATTTTAATTGCGTGCAAATTGTTATAACCTTAGAGGACCAACTTGTTATTATTTATTTATTAAAATGATATTTGTATTATGTTAGAATTCAATGATTATTGTAATTATATTTTAGATTTTTTAATATTTAAAATGAGATGTTTATCTATATTTAGCTATATGAATTAAAAAATAAAGCTTTAATAAGTGTATTTATGAATAATTATTTGCAATCTTAAATTTTAAATATTATGCATCAAAAAACAGTACTTTATAAATAAAATTAAGAGTTTTTGTCGAATGTCTTATAATATTACTAGAAGCGTACTCGCGCAATGCAGCGAGATACATCGTGATTTTAATATTTCATTTTATTCTTTATCTCAGTAGATGTTATAATATGGCTTTATGTGATTTT